GAAAAGATTGAACAGAATTAGACAATTGAGAGACACAGTGAAATCACTGCTAGATGAACTTTGACAGAACTGAAAGAAAGCCCCAATTGTTTTAAATCCTGGAGGTAGTGCAGGTATCTTTGGTATGGGAGACTCTGCTGGCTCAGGACTGCATTGGGTTGTCCATTTTGAGACTCTTTTCTGTTTAGAGGAATAAGTTTTCCTTTTAAGAGGTGTCCTGCTTTGTAGAAGGATTTCTCGCACCTGAAGAAAGCAATCTGTCAATATCAACCAGCCATCAACCAGCCAGCACCCAAGCTGTCAGATGCAGTGACTTCTGATCCAAGCAAAGTATCTGACCTCAGCGCTGCAACACTAGTAAAATGATATTCAGAGAGTATCTGTTAGCCAGAACTATCTTGGACAGCATGGAGTTATTAGGACTATTCTGCATTTGTCCCAGCTGATCTTGCAAATTCACCTGGGAAATCAGGGGAATATTTGGCAAAGTATACAGGGCTCCAAGGACTTATCAAGTGAACAAGACATCTTGTGAGCCTCCACTTAGGTGCTCTCTGAAATAAAATAGCTGGTCATTTCCTTGTTACTGGAAAATTAGGTCTATGATGGACCTCAATAGCAACCACTGCTGGTTGTGCTGGACTGTTTCCTTAGGAAGTCTGTCAGAATGTTGCTAATTCCCATTAGGTAGAAGGCTGTTGGGGTTATTCCATGCAGTTGACTCAGGGCTGATGAGAAAGCATGTCCTTGTTTGTGTATTATACTGCAGATTTGTTGTCCATCAAAATTTGCATTGTGGAATTTTGTAAAAGAGGTCAGAATGCAGGATAGCATGATCACTCACAGCTTCAATACATTTATGTGAAGAGTCAAATCCTTTTGAGCACCAGACCTTTGAATCCAGAGGTTGTTCAGGTGGGTTTCTCAGTCCATGGCTGCCGAATCCATGAGACATCTTCCTCTTAAGGGGCAAAGTTTGTTTATGTGGGGATACGCTTTGTAGATTTGGCACTCTCCTGAACCACATATGCTACTAATGATCCTGACTGGGTAAGCACAGAAATGCTTGGATCCCTTCTGTGGAACTTCATACCTTACCTCCAACCTTTTCATAGTAGGAGAAATGGTGACCAATATTTGTCATAATACCTTTGAAGAGTCAAGTATCCCCTTCCTAATTGGGAGGGTTAATCTAATCAGTGCTGAGGAATTTGAATGACTAAAATCTGAATATCCAGGGATCTCAGTTAAGATAGCAGTTCCTGAAATGTCTTAAAATCATGTGGTGCTAACGCTGGAGCCTTCACATTATAGCAAAACAATGAGGATTCCAAGAGAGGTGACGGAAGATGTTGTTGTTCCACTAATCCCATTTCACCCAGTGAACAATGTTCATTGTCTCAGTCCAGTGTGGGCAGGCTGAACAGCAAAGCTGATGAGGAAAGGGATCTCTTGCACTTGAGAGATGGGATTGAGATCGACTCCTGGAAGCATGGGACAATGGTACCAAAAAGACCCAGTAGTACTAACATGGCACATTATACTGCTTCAGCTGGCTTCACTGGGGTGGCCAGCCATTACAATCCATGTCAGGATTGTGATACAAATCTACTGGGAAAGCATTTAGTCCATTCAACAAAGTTTTCTTTCTGAATATTAAAGGGAGATAGTTCTATGCTTGATGCTGGCAAAAAGGTATGGCTAGTGATGGGAAAGAAGAGTATATCTTGTTCAAGAACAGTGCCACAGTATAAGGTGATCTTGATGCCAGGATATCCAGTACTGACCATGTGCCAGTACTAATGATGGTTTCTGTGCCTAGGAAGACTTTGGTAAAGATGTAGACTTCCCTGCAGCATTGGAACATAAATAAGCAGAGGACTCTGCAGCCAGTGCTGACATCAGTGATGTATCAATGCTGCCATTGAGCTCAACACTGGATGCGATTGTTGATGCCGAACTTGTGACTAAGCCTGCCCTGCAAGCCCCTGTGATGGCAGAAGACTTAGTGAACTTCTCTCTGACACGTTGTTTCAACTTCTGCTTATGAGACAACAACCACCAATGTCTACAGCAATGGTTTTGTATGTACGCCAGCCAACCTTGCCCCTTACTACCAGTCTTTGGTGCAGAGCTGTTGGTGCATGGATCATCCATGCAGAGTCCTTTGACAGTGTTTCTTCCTGTGACAGGGCTTGGTGTAATGAGCCATCTGGTGGGGGGCACTCAAAGAATTCCCCAGTGCTTGATCAGTCTTAGGAGCAGTCTCCTCAGAGTGAGATGACAGCTCACTGACCAGTCCACAGGATAGAGCTTGAAGCATGGGTCTGCGAGGAGAATGAAAAGCAGACAAAGCACTGATCCAACACACAGTTCTCTTCAAGACAAAACAAGCAGCAGCTACAGCCCTTAATAAGCAGAATGAGGCAGTCATAGAATGGACAGGGCTTAAAGTTTTGAGTTCACTATCAAGCACATGGTAGTGAAAAGCTCCTAATGGATCTGTAGAGGGAGGCAGTGAGATTTTGGGGGGCAGGGTTTCAGTAGTCCCAAATGGGTAAACTAAGGGGAACAGGAACATTTTAAAAAGGTGGGGAGATTTTGGGGGGCAGGGTTTCAATAGTCCCAAATGGGTAAACTAAGGGGAACAGGAACATTTTAAAAAGGTGGGTAGATGACTGGGCTATCAAAATATAGCAAACACTAAGGAGCAGAAACCTGGATATGTGTTCTGTCATGGACAGTAGGAGAGAATTGAGGGCAGCTATTGCTCCAATGTCTTTATACCTTCAAATGAGAGGCATGAAAGCATGTGCTGAACATCTGTAGCTCCAATGGATACTGATGTTCAAAATTCCAACCTGCCACGAGGTGCACATGCAGTCTACACTGGTACTCAAAGAAAAAAATTATAGAAAATATAATCAAATGACTATGAGATTGACACTACCTGGATAAACTTTACTAAATCTTACTGAAGTTCATTGTATTAAAAACACTTATTTACTACCTTGGAATTGTACGGATCTTCAAAGAACCTTTTCAAACAATGTGAGCCTTTAACATTAAGGGTTTTTTCCCCTAGGAGGAGGGGATTTATGCTAATATTCCTCCAGTTATCAACTCTTTAAAGTAATCATCTAAGAGAGGTGCACATATACAGTTTCAAAATGGATACTCCATGGATCAACAGAGAAAGGGTTTTTGGATAAATAGCCAGGTTTTACATTAGTTTGGGGCCTTCTTTCTGATCCAGCAGATGTACAGAACACCTCAACCATGGAGGATCCCAGTCTTCAGAAAAGGATAGCAAGGATCTGGCTTACTGAGGCCACATAATACTGAGAATTTCTTCTGAGCTGAAGCGGAGATGAACTTGTGACTACAAAAGAAACTTCTTGAGTGGTGAATTGAAGGACAACTACTGCCAAGACTGCTCCATCTGGGTTATTGGATGATCTCTGGTCAACTTATTAGCACACACTTAGCTCTTTTTATGCAAGCACGTTTCCTCGTTAAGATAAAAGCACTACAGATAAAACATTAAAAATAACAAAAGAACCTATGTGGTATGATTAACCTGGGCAGTCACACTGTTAACTGTCTCTGAAGAGAAAGCAAGTAGGCGTGCTGGAGCAGACTGTCTCATCTGGGAACAACATAGCAAAGGCAGGGAAACTGTGCAGCCTGGAAATGCCATGGAGAGAGTGTCATAAGTTTCTATCCAAAAAGGCAACAGGTATGAAGCTGAAAATCTGAGGGTGGCCCACAGAGGGGAAATCCAGGTGCAGCTTCCCTGAACTATTAAAATGACAAAAATTGGCTTCAGAAGTCAGGGGCAGATTGCACAGAATATATGGCCTGCACAATTTTATTACTGATGACAACGTGTGAGATTGACTCTCAGATACCAGATTAAATTTGCAAGGCTAGTAAATCGAGGAAAACAAAAACTCTACTCCTTTTCCTGGTCAAATAAACATACTGGATATGGAACCATTGGAAGACAGACACAGAACCCCATTTATATAGCTACTCAGAGCACAACTACACTTATTCCTCTTAACCAGACCTTATAACTCAAGAGGCACCATTCATTTTAGCCCCAAAGTTACCTATATTCTTGAAAAATCTTGTACTCCCTCACTGACTGCTAAAAATGATTTACATTGGGAATAGAGAATCCTTAAACATATTACAAGCAGTTAATAATATCAGAATGAATACTGTTAACATGTCAAACTTTCCCTCCCAGGTACTTTTTGTGTGCCCTTCATTTTGGGTCTTTATCACACAATGCATCCTACAATTGGGCCTTGACAAGCTGGTAGATGAGACTACTCTAAAATTCATGGACCCCATTTGTGGAGTTAAAGAGGACTTTAGTGATTAAACAAAAGTTCTCTTACTCATGTTATGTCCTGTTATCTTTCGATTTGCCAGTCCAGTTTTGGCAGACAAGTTAATGCTCTATGAACCCCTATTAAGTGTTTGAGAAGCTATGGTAAGTGACAGAGACTTCTGTCTTTTTTGACAATTGTAAAATTCTATTTTTCAGCCACTTAATTTTTCTTCAACAGAGAAATCTCTGAACGAAAAATCAGAGGCACCCAAACTTTGTCCACATCAGACCACCACATTGGTAGCTCGGCAGGAGCACGGAATTAACCTATATTTAAATTTACATAAAATGGGACAAATTACATTCACTTACCATTAAGATGAAACCTTTGGAGAATATATTTCCCACTATGTAATTTTCCATCTTTATCCCAGTATCCTCCAGTGAGTGAGGACGCTTTTCCACATTAGAACAGAGGACAGCCACAGGTTATCCTATAACAGTGCTTGAGCCAAATTTATCACTACCACATTTTAGCCAGCAATACCATATATGAAAAAAAACAGTTAATCTTTTCTCCAATAACAAAATGGAAAGACCAAATACTTAGAAGGAGGTCACCCAAGACTCCAGAATTTTTTCTATCCCTATAACTCACCTGCATAGGTGGCAGCAGACTGTTGCAAGGACTGAAGCTGGCCACGACTACAGTTATATTTCTTAGTAATATCTTTTAAGGGAACCTCATTGATTAAATCCAATAGAGCAAGGCTGGTGAAAAACCTGTACCAAAAGCATATACAAAATGTTTTAGAAAATAAAGTAATTGAAACCAAACACGTGCTACTCTGAGTTAGACGTGGAAAACAAAGGAAATAACTTTTTGGACTATTCTTCTTCACACATACCCAAGCTTCCTGTAGATACAATTTCTTAGCCAACAAGCATAAATTCATCAGGGACTGATGCAAAATGTATTAGATACCAGGTCAGCCAACAGAAAAGCCAATCCCAAAGTTTTCATGTAGAACAGAACCTAAAAATTGGATCTTCCCTTCACATATTTATTCTTTAGAACAAGGGTGAAGACCTATGGCTCCTCCCCAGCATTTGGGAGCTACTGGCATTCCAGACACCCTCCCCCACTGTCCGCCCACAGAGCTGGAGCACACAAAACCTAATAATCTGGGCCCCTCTAGGTTCTGGTGTGCAAGAGGAATGTGAGGAGTATCTTTCTCCTTCACAGTTGGGGCCACATCAGTGAGGGGTTTTTTTTCTTCTCACTTGTGTGCAGCCCCCAACTGATTTTTCTAGTGGTCAGTGGCCCCCAACCCTAACAAGATTCCCCACTCCTGCTTTAGAACCTCATCCCCTTAAGCACACAGGCCTCTCTCATTACCTTTTATGAATGGCCATTTGTCTGTGTTGTTTTTCTGTTTTGGCTATGATTTTGCCCTTTACAGAGCGAGCCAAGAAGCCTTCTTCAATCCCCACCAACTCAGCCACTCGCTTCATAGAAGAAGGCAATTTCTCCCACAGGCAGAAAAACTGGTACCAGTCAATAGCAGTCCACTCCTCGTACACAGGAGTGACCTAAAGAAAACAAATCAATATTTCATTCTTTAAAGCAAAACCTTTACTTCACATGAATAGGCATAGCACTACATTTGCAAGAAAGAGGATAAATAATAATGTATTTCAAGATATATGCTTAGTGTCCTACATACAACTCTGATGCACTGAATGAGAACCACATACCTGAAGAACATAAAAATTCTTCCAAACTAGTTTATAATATTTGGTGTAATGAGCTCTGACACCTGTTGGTGTATTCTCACAATTACACGGCTCAGGCCCGTTGTCAGATTGTTCCCTGAATCCAAGACACTAAAAAAGGCTTTATTTTTACTTCACATAACTGACTAACATATGCCTGTCTATTTAGATCAGTGTCAGAAAGACACATTTTCCTAGACCATTCCACAAAAAACAGGACATCCAGTTACAGCAGCCTTACTAGACACTGGCATGGTATCTGATCATGTAGGAACATAGGTTCCGCAGTCTACTTTTCCTCTCACTTCATAATTACCCTCAAGAACAAACATTTCAATGCTACTAATATGAATACAAATATCCAAACAATCAAACCTCTAAGGCCCAAAATAAATCTGGTTATAATTCAATCTGCCTTCAATACCAGAAGAGATAATGTCTTAATATCTACATAACCATATTGAGAAAACAAGTTAGTACTATTAGACTTCGTTTTGAACTAAGAGCACATTTAGCTCAATACAACATAAATGTCTCAAAACAAAGTCTAATAGTACTAAGAGCACATTTAGCTCAATACAACATAAATGTCTGGGGGTGCAGCTACAAATCCTCCCTCTCCCTTTAATATTGGAAAAGGTAAGAATCACTAGACAGGATCCCATTTCAGAGAGGTAGGCTCTTTTCACACATTCCTAACCAACAAATATTTTTTCTTTTTACCAAACTCTAGAAAAGGTCAGCCATAGATGTATACAATCAGAACGTTCAAGCCTAAGGGAGTTAAGAACCATTATCACAGTAGACAGAGAACTATAACATAGGATATATTTAGAGAACAACTCCCAGCAAAAATAATCTTCAGTCCTACTTTAGAAATGAACAGTTTACAAGCAATGTTTTAGACAATGTTAATGGGAAAAGAATCTCAGGAACATTTTGTTCAATAGCATTATATCAAATTGAATAACAGGACAAACCACTGTCCTTGAAATCTCCAGAGAGAAAATACCTTATTACATTTACATCTCCTGCCTCAGAACATGAGCAGAACTGCTGGATACTATACAAAACAGCTCTTTTTTATTTACTGAAAATAGAAACAATATAAAGCTCCTCCTGATGTAGGCAGTTTGTATGCACATATAGGACACTAGCATATCCTACAAAATCATTCAGTTTTGGTCACCAGCTGAGTCAATAACAGAACAAGCAAAGGAGTAAAGTTGAGAGCAGGCAAAAGCATGCACTCTTCTCTGTTTATGATCCCAACAATCACATCATCCCTACTTTGTTTTGTATGGATCACACAGTTCCTCGGGAGGGATTTCAAAACTGTCACAAGCCTGTTTCAGAGGCTATGTTTTGACTTTGTCGTGACAAACTATAAAGATGCACGTTTAATTGGGAGAAGGGAATATCAGATTTCGTACAACATTCCTTTAAAGCCCTCTTGTCTGCAAATCTTTACAGGCTCGTGATTCCCACTCCAGGAATTTTAACTGGCCTTGGGGACTTCTTCAATATGCACACACAGATCATAGTTGTCTTGCTGGGGACTGCACCCCACAACAGACTCCTCAGGACTCCCCTTTCATAGCTGTAGCAGGCTCCTCCATCCCAAATGTGCTGAACAAGTTCATTAGGGACCAACAACCTTTTTAAAGCTTATAGTGAAGTTGGGGTTAGGCTCAGAGTAGTTGATAGGGCCCAGTAAGTCTCCAAAGTCTCAGTGCATATCTGAGGTAGAACTTTATGAGCCTAAGTCTCAGGACAACCGCAGATTCAGAAAACCTTTGCCAAATTCACTTCAAATATTTTAGAAAGATTATACCTCTCTCTCCCAGGCAAAAATTTAAATTTTGAGACAGATGAGACTTTTCTGTGAGTTTAAGGAAAACAGTGACCAAATTGGGTTTATAATAGACCCAATCAATTGAATCGCAACTATGAAGAGGCAGCTGCTTCATAATATTCACTGCAGACGCAGGACAGTTTCCAAACTTACTCAGGATGGATTGATTTAAATTACTGAAGTTGCCAGACCATGGAAGATGTCGGACCAGAGAGCCCCATTGATTTTGCTAACAACATAGCACTAGTTATTGACTCAACAGATGAGCTAGTTATAGAAAGCTCAATGGCAAAAGTCAGCCTGAAAATTGATTAGAGTGTCCACCAGAAGAATTTTGGTTTTAATTTCAAACATGCTGCAGGCTCTAGGATCTTAATGGATGGCTACACAATCAAGACATGTCAATGATTTCATCTACTTCAGTTCTGTTATCAGTAACAGGGGGCATACTGAGAAAATGTAAACCGTTGGTAATGGAGTTCCTCATTAAGAACATATTTCACAAACCAAACATCCTGATAAGTGGAGCAATGAAATTGAAGATATAGAATACTACTGTAGTCAGCATTCTGATCTCTAGAACTAGAACATAGCGCCTCATTGCCAAGATTGAAAACCAGGACACCATTCAGATGAAGCATTACTAAATGATTGAGAACATCAAGTAGTATGAATTCAACTCAAATGAAGCTATCTATTTTCTAATTAAACAAGTCTTGCTCTCTCAAAACTGTCACCCAAAGCTCATTAAGATGGCATGGTTATCTATGGCGAATGCCTACCAATTTTTCTGTAAGAGTCATCTCCAACTTTGACCCCAAGAAAGCAGGATGAAAAAGACCCCAGAAGACCTGAAACATGATGACTGGGCAGCATCAACAGGTACCTGTCCATGACAAACATCCAATCCTGAAAAATGCCAGATTTGGCTCAGGACAAACATTAGAGAGGCACATAACATGTTCAGAGATCACTTCATTGCTCAACCAAAAGCATGAAAACTTAATGTAATTTAAATTAAAAAATCAAATTTAAATTAAAATAATCTGATTTTTTTAAGTCATCAATTTTATTGACCCTGAATTGAATGCTTTTCAAAATATTTCCCCAAGAGGGAACACATGAACAAAACTAACCAAACAAGAGATCCTTGCACTCAAGATGTTGTATGCTGTGCATTCTCTCTTCTCCTTCACCTGTACAAATAAAGCTGCTCTAAAGAGATGAACAAGGAACCTACCAAATAGAGAATATGCAGGTCATTCTCCAGGACAAAACCCTTCATTGCTCTTTGGAGGTCAGCAAAGATTCCCAGAGCCTCAGTTGGTGACAGAGAAGAGGAAAGAGTAGCTGTACCAAGGTGTGTTGGATGATAGATCTCTGCTGTAACAGAAACAGGCACTTAATGTTACAGATAAACGAACTTTTTAAATTTATAAAGTGCTTAATAAATATTAATCAACCCTCTTAGGAAGAAGAGGCATATTTTTCCATTTTACAGATGAAGAACTGAGACAGGAAGTCTAAATGCCTCACCCAAAGCTAATTAGCCTAAAAGCTGGGATCAGAACTCAGGCTCTCAATCCTGTGCTCCACCGAATAAGAGATCACAATAATAAGTCAAATAAGACACGAGAGTTACATATTTTACTTTAAAAAATATTGTGTTGTCTTTGTTATTTGTACATCAGGAAACTCTAAAGTGACCAATAGCTGGGATTCTCCAAATATACTGGAACGACAGGAGTTGCACTCCTCTGCTTGCAGGTCTCTGAACCTCAGAAAATAGTGAAAACAGTAAGCAGCACACTTTCCCACTGATGTTATGAAAGACTTCCCTCCCTGACAACTCCTTTTCAGGTTGTATCCTTTTCCTCTAGCGAACAACAGCTGAAGATTCAAGGGAAAAAGGAAGGGTCAATGTGGATCTACAATGTGAGATAACATTCAGTTAACTTCAGCTACAAGTAACTTTCTTGCCTCCGAAAGTTGAATATTAGACAAAGTCTCTGAGGCTGGAATTTTCATGGGGTGAGAGCTTAACATACCAAAAATCTTATACAAAAATTCCCCACCTATGCTGGAGATGAGGGTTGGGAATTTTCATGTTAGGCACTTCGTTTAAAAGCAGAATGCTTTACTGGTATCACCATACTGGGATCCTATACACCAACAGGAAAGAGATTTCCTATCTTCAACTGAACAAAACATTAAACGTAATTATCCTAAATATAAAGTGCCTTGAGAGTCAAAACAAGAAGAAATATTCCAGAACCAATTTTGCTGGCAAATGAGGAGGAACGAACAAAGATTAAAGTCTGAAACAGCTGGACCCTGCTGAGTTTTCACATACCCTGTAAAGGCCACACTGCATTATCATTTTTGGACTTGTAAGTTAGATCATGAGTCTTAGTGGGGATCTGCAGAGGCCACGTCATAAAGATTTTTTTTTCTTAAGCATGTACCAAAAATAAATTAATGAAAAACTTTAATTCATGGCATCCTAATAAAAGGTCAATATCTGTTAAAAAAAATTTTGACCAAATCCCAGAAGGCTTATTTTAAATTTACACTTAGCCCTTGAAGTTCTGCCCTGTCAAAAAAAAATCTCTAGACCAGACCCACTCAAAGAGGAGAAAATATGGACAACACATAGAAGCAGTAATCTTTACCTTTTACTCCATTACCAGAGTCTAAAACCTGGATGAACTCATTCTCTAGCAGCCATCTCACACAAGCCTCAACAGCTCCATTCTGAGCTTTCTCTTCACCTCTCCCACTTCCTTGCTCACCATCTTTCAGACTGGCAGCAAGAAGTGTGCAGGAAGCATAGGTTCGCACATCTTCTGGCGTATTGGCCACTCCACCCACTATGATCTATTAAAGAAAATTCCATGATCATCATTGCTGAAAACAAGTACCATAGAATTTAATACTAGGGATGTTAAGATAGCGTGAAATATCTGGCTTTAATAGTCATGTAACCTCAAATTTTAATGGTTACACAATTATTCAATAGTCCCCTATATTTAAGAGGCAGTCAGAGTGCTCCAGACCCCACTCCTGGGGAGCCCCCTGCCACCTTGCATTACTGCCTTTATATCAAAGGCAGCAGCACAGGGCTACCATAGCCCCTCTGTGTGGGGGGCCTGAGCTCCTCACACACAAAGGCTGCACCGGCATACCATGGCGGGCCCGGGCTCATTGCAGGGAATGCTTTGCAGCAGCCTTCCCTTCCCCTTTTCCTCACACTTCTGTAGAGGACGCAGCGCAGAGCTGGTGCTAGGGGGACCAGTTTTAAGACAGCTCCCCCACCACCGGCTCCTGTCGGGCCCCCCTCACTTTCTCTGATACAGCAAAGTGGGGGGGAAGTGGGTCTGCAGAGCCAGCACATGCAGACAGCCTGCTTAAAAGCTGGCTCCCCACACGTATCGGCTCCCGCCTGCCCCCCCCCCCCCATGAACTGCTGCCTCTGATAGAGAGGTGGCAACACAGGGGAGGGGGAAAGGGGGAAGAGGCAGGCAGCTCCATGGGATCCGGTGCTCATGTGGAGCTGGCATGAAAGCCAGTTCCTCACGGGCACCAGTTCCCTGCTTCTCTGCACTGCTGCCTCTGATAGAGAAGCAGCAGCGTAGGGGGGCAGGCAGCTCCACGGGAGCCAATACGCACAGGAAGCTAGCTTGAAAGCCAGCTTCCTGTGTGCACCAGTTCCCACCTTCCCCCCACTTTGCTGCCTCTGATACAGAGGCAACAAAGGGAGAGAGAGCACATGTAGTTGACCAAGCTTATCGGTTAATCATGTAGTTGTCTACATGTTGACATCCATATTTAAGACATGAAAAATTTAATGAGTTGACCGGTCATGAATCCAAAGAAAAAGTTCTGTATCACAGGAACATGTAGTAATGCAGTTTCAAACTTCTACTACTGAGAAGTATAACTGTTAAGACTCTTTATTTTGTAAGAAAAATAAAATGCTTTTGACTCTGCTTACAGTATCAGATTGCTCACTGCAAGAGAAAGTTAACTAGTAAGCTGATTTTTAGAACAGCCTAACATTTTTGAGAAAGTAATGCACATAGTAGCCTGTCAATAAGGATATTAACACTAGACTCACTCAAACACTACTGTGGGATTCAAAAAAGGGTAAAATGTGATTAAGTTTTAGATACAGAACAACCAAACCAGGAAGCAAGATTCTCCCTAGCACTGTTCATCCTACTGAAGTATTCTGTTTTGTGGGTTTGTATACTTTTTTTAAAAACACATGTATATATCATAGCCAAATACTGTGTTCCTCATTTAAAGTGTAATGCAAAAACCTCTCTATTTTATATTATATATGAGCCTCATTCTTTGTGAGTTACTACTTCAGCACTGGAGGTAAGGGAGGAATTAGTAACAAAGCATTCTGGAGTGAATTCACTTTTTTTTTTAAAGCAAAAAACTAACTACTAACAAAAAGGGAGACATTTTGGAGAGCTGTTTTTACAACAGTTCATTTAATTAGAGATCCTTATACTCAGTATACCTCTCACTGCTAATAAAAAATACAGATTCTGAGACATATCAGACCAATCTCCTGATACCATCTTGGTTTATTCAGAAGAGTTTATATGTAAAACAGTTAAGAAAGGAACTGGATTACAAAAACATTTAAAGCATGAAATGCATCTTTGTAAAAATGGGCAGAGCTGTTCCCTAGATTTTAGAATCAGATCAGTGCATATATGTGACAAAAATAATTAATGTTGCTTTGTTACTTAACTTAGTCCTGCAGAATGAGTACAGATAAGAGAAACTGAACAGAATTCTACTTCTCATTAACAGGATAATTTACTAAGTTCCAGTCAATAATACCTGTACAAAAGGAGTGCATGACTTAGGGCCTAAATTGGCCTACAGAACCTTTAATATTAATAATACTGCACAAAAATTAACTACAGTGAAACCTTTGTTATCCGGTACACTGTTAACCAGAAAACTTTGTTAATCGGCATTGCCCCCAGCCACAATACTGTCACATCTTCAGGCACACTGGCCTGGCTTGTTTTACCATGATTGGCTTAATTTTTTATTTAAGAAGTTCTAATCATCTTTAACTCAAAATAGAAATCTGAGACCAAATGCCTCACACTACAAAACCACCAATATTAAACACTTGAGTTTTACTATTATTGTCCATTGGTTTTTCCTAGGTTGATTCAGAGAACCAGAATTTTTAGATAACCAGAACGCCCTAATCCCCGAGCTTGCCGGATAACACAGGATTTACTATAGTTTGGCTCTAAGGTATAGCTACACTACAGCCTAAGGGCGTGATTTCCCTGCTTGTGTACACATACTTGCGCACACATATTTGTGCTAGCTCTTATTGAACTAGCACAAGTATAAACAGCAGTATAGCTATGGTAACAGGTAGCAGAAGTACAGGATGAACCTCTCTAGTCTGGCACCCTCAGGATCTGACCGGTGCCGAACCAGACAATTTGCTGAACCACAGGAGATCAATATCGTCTAGAAGCATTGCCAACACTTCCACCACTTACTGAGCTCTCAGAAGACATTTAGGAGTAAATCAGTGTTAAACAGCACAGAACACTGAGAGCCAGGACTGGTGGCTGCAAACAAATTTTATGGGGTTGTGGGAAACTTGGCTACACCCATAAGTGAACATCCAGCTAACTAAAATAATGCCAGACAAAACGTTGCCAGACCAGAGAGGTTGAAACTGTGGAGGCACAGCTTAGCTATGCCAAGTATATACCCACCACAGGTATATACTCACCTGGATCAGCTATGCCTCTGGGCTGCTAATCATGCCACCTCAGCTATGCTACTATTTATATTCGTGCTAGCTCGATGAGAGCCAGCACAAGTATGTGTACAGGCGCAGGGGACTCACATCCCTATCTTTTAGCATAACTGTTGCCTCAGATCTCAGTTTAAACGTGCAGTGCTAGCAATAACAACGTTTTCCACCTATAACCTGTGCACATTTAATAGGGAGTCTCTGAGACACAAAGACAGACTCCCAATGCCACTTTCAGAGTAATTTCCACTCTGAATTAACAACAATCACAGACTGAAATGGATTTGTATTACTTTTAGTGAAGCTGTCTGGATTGGTAATGGGAGGGGGAGGAGGAACAGGAGAAAGAAAAGAAAAAAGAAGAATGGGTGTGAAGTATGTTTTTACAAGACTGCTAAACAATCATCCTAAACTTATGTGGAATAACAGAGCAAACAAAATTCCAGTCCATGTGTCCCATACCTCCAGGATTGCTCGTATCATGCTAGAGGTTACCCTTTCCCCCTCTTTTCTGAGCAAACAGCTGTGGACTGGCTTGAGCGATCCCTGAAGCAGAGCAATGCCTTTCGATCTCTCAGAGGGCTTGCATACTAGAATACTTTCACCTATGAAAAAAATAGAGATGAAGTGCTCAAAAACAAAGGGAGCTACATTTTTAATTAAGACATAATTTGAAATGTTTTGCATTAATTTATTTAATCATCAATTCATGCAAAGAACAATTTAAATTTACAAAGATCGGGACTAAGAAATTTCGGTATTCTGTAGGTAACATTTCTCTGGGCAATTTTCCTGTAATAGCTCCACAATTCAATGAGGACACATTATCAAAAACATGTCATGTGAATACTTTGGATGATATAGGCCAAGAAGCCAATCAATTTCATATTTGTACACTCATTAACAGTTTACCTAATGCTGTGGAATGGCTCCATGTGTATATGACAGTTAACAGATGGCATATACTGCCCAATTAACAGACACTGCACTCACTAAAACCAATACAAGGGAATACTCAGGACAAAGAAAGCTACAGCTTGTTCTGAAGTTAACTAGTTCCACACTTCGCAGAAGAGTCCATTTTTCCTCTCCTCTGTTGTAGGATGAAATGACTGTCACAAATCCGAAGAGAAAACAGAAGTGAAATGTGACAGACTGGGCAGCACAGATAATAAAACTACACAGCACTTGAATGACACCTATCTAATACAAACAGTCTGACAGCAACACGCCTAAACATATTGAAAATATATTTATTATTAATATCCTGGTATCTTTACAGATACTACAACAGCAGCCTTAAAACACTGAATTAGTTACCATGTGTTCTCCAACTTAAAGTTTCTTCTTTAAGTGGAAACAATATAAAGTACATAAGGCATTAACGTATCAGTTAACATTAAATTAATCTCTGATACATGTAATATTCATGTATTTATGAAGTTCCAAGCAAGGCAGGGAAAGCCATGCAATGATTCAAAAGTTGTGAATCAAAACTACTGTCCTCTGATATACTGATAACAGTCATAGAATCATAGGGTTGAAAGAAACCTCAAAAAGGTCATTGAGTCCAACCCCTGCTAAAAGCAGGACCAATCCCAACTAAATCATTCCAGCCAGGACTTTGTCAAGCCGGAACTTTAAAACCTCTACTGATGGAGATTCCACTGCCTCCCTAGACAACACATTCTAGTGCTTCACCACCCTCCTAGTGAAATAGTTTTTCCTAATATCCAACTTAGACCTTCCCCACTGCAACTTGAAGTCACATTATCTGTGATGATAAAGTGAACCATAGGAGGGGAAGAAAAGATAGGGGAAGTCATGGAAAAGAGGGGACATATTCCCTCACTGCAAAGTTAGTAAACATTCAGACACAGAATCTCTGGACAGCTGCTGAACAGTTACAACAAACAGGCTTAGTCAGATGAAAACATATTCTTTTTCAAACAGCACTAATCAACCAAATTCCTAATCCATACTAGAAAAGGTTTTTTTTCGTTTGTTTTTCAAGTGCAGTTGATATAGTAGAGCAGCAGCTGATATGTGCGATTATGTTCTCACTTTCATCCAAAATGCTTTATAGAAAAGGGAAAATCGTATTTATAAATTTATAAGCATATATTCAGACTGAATACTGTGCAATAAACTCGGGTTCACGTCAGACAGGTAAAAAATAAAAGCCAAAAAAATTCATTTTATAGAAGCGTTGGTCAAAGTGTAGACACCAGGTTACAAGAAATTCTACAATAGAGCACGACTTCCCTCTCAATGCAGCAGTGTGACAGTCTGTAGACTCTGCATTTCAGTATATGATGCTGTCAGGTTGCTGAAATCAAGATGGAATGCTACATTTCAAGACCTGTAGTGTCTACAAGCTACAACCGTACATTAAATATAAAAGTAGCCATAATGAGAGTGCAATGAGCTTCCACCAAGTTATCAATAACATCCTCAGTAGGGCAGCCTTGTTTAATAATTATATTGATATATGTACTCTCCATATGGTTTACAGATTTGCAAAAAAAAAAAACCACACCAAAATTTCTATTAATTTTATCGATAAAATAAATTTTCATTCTGAATAAAACTGTTTCTATCAAAATAAATTTTCATTCTGAATAAAACTGACATTAACAAAGTTATTTGCCTTCCCATGCCAAGAGTTTTTGATTGATGGTAGCAATCTCAAGAGACTTTCTATGAGCTGCCTGTGGAGACAGGGAGAAGCACTCAACATTTTCTAGGGTTACAAAACATTTTCCAGTTCACTGAAAGAGAGGCTTATAAACCTAAGTAACTTGTCCAAGTGGAAAGTATTTGTTTGCCAAATTTGGGTCTACAGCTTGAGCCTCATTGCCCAAATTTTAAGCCTATAAAACTTGCTAACCTTGCCATAACCCAAAGAATTAAAGCAAATAATCAAAGTATTAGAAATAAGAAAATCAACAAACAGACTGTGCTTCCAATAACCTGACATGCAGACACCAAAATCAATTCATGCAAAGAAAAAAAATCCTCTGGGAATCACAATTATATTGCCTTTAATACCAAATAAATTAATCTTGATTAACTTTATCATACTGAATACCAAAGGAATGAATCATGATTAATCACTAATTGTAAAGCATTGCCCTGCTTATAATTAGGTTAACACAGTTCTTAGAGAATGTTAATAAAGCCTCCACTTACCCACTGTGTCTACTCCTTTCCTTCCTGCCCTCCCAGCCATCTGTTTGTAAGTTAGGATGTCTAGGAGTCTACCACCAAATACAGGTGTTCGGACAATTACCCGGTGTGCAGGCAGATTCACCCCAGAAGAAAGGGTGGATGTTGCTGCCAGGACTCGAATCAACCCTTGGCGAAAGGCCCCTTCAATGATATCCCGTTCATCAAAAGTAAGACCTGAGGAAACAATGCTTTTCAATGAATGCACTAATATTATGTTTGTGGTGAAGCATAACCTCCATGAGGGAAAGCCTTGCGAGAATAGACAGTACATTTACTAACATTTACCATGTATCAGTTTAGAATGATGGAGCCATGTCATACCAGTTTCTTGATTGTTGCTTGGAAGCATGACAGAAATTAATAAATTCTACAGAAACACTTTCCTTTTACTATCCTAACCAATAGCAATCTGCTTCTCCAAAGTGCTTACAGAGACCATAAAAAGTCAGAAAAACACAGGAAAAAAGTTGGATCCAGTAGTTATAACAGGGGCTCAGAGGTAACAGCTTTCCCTTTCTACATTTCTGTGGTTTGCTATCCTGAACCTGGAGTCCAACTAGCTTATCTAGTTCATTTCCATTAAAAAATCCACAATACACATTTTCCATTGTTTACTTCAAGCAGTGAGTCCAAAGCAATGGGATTCCTAACACTTCCTTTGGGATGCTGCTGAACAGCTTAATAGATCTTATGGCCAGGAAGTTTCCTGTTTATGATTTCATCCGTCCACTTCTAAATCCACAGTCTTGCACCACACTAAGTTATTCTTTTTCTTCCTTGATATTTCTCTCAATATATACAAAATTTTTCCTGAGAGACAACAGTGACATCACATCACACTGCGTCTCACCTGCCTCCTCCCTTCTTGGTGCTCAGGGAGCAGGTGCCATGTGGCCTCCTCCCTTCCTGGTGCTCTGGGGAGGAGCCAAGGCTGCTGTGGCCTCAGTCCAGCCAAACCGCCCAGCAGCCAGGGGGAGACAGCTGGGGCTGGTGTGGCCAGGATGGAGTGGGTAGAGCCAGGGCTGGCACTGCCTCGCCCCTGCCCGATGGCTGGGGGGCAGTCCAGGACTGCCACGCCTCAGCCTGGCCCTCCCCAGTGGCTGGTGGGAAAAAGTCGGGCTGCCTACCCTGGGAAGGGGGACCGGTTGGTGAGCATAGCGAGCAGGGGGTGAAGCCCCCTAGTAGGCTTGAAATATTGGTAGACTTTTTCCTACCAATTTCTCTATATTCAGCTCCATCTTTCTTTTTAAGTCACTCTTCTCAGGTTCACTCATCAGTTTGGCCTCCTTCTCTTAGTGGGCTGTTGTGATGATGGAGCTAACAAGCCAGTTTCCCCATGAAGGATAAACTATCAAGTTTAAGGCCTATAAACTGAAGAGCTCTTATCCTGGGACTCACAAAGGAGCTAAAGTTACTCAAAGTCACATCAAGAAGGAACCTGATGTACACTGGGAATCTTGTTTTGAAAAATGAACTTTTGTTGGCATACTTTCAAGGTAGTGGTGCAGAAACATTTTTGAGTGGGAGTGTTGACACCCTCAACTTACCGTCTCCTCCCATCTCTCCCCTTCCTCTCAGCTGAGGCTGGGGTAATGCCCTGGTGTGTAAAACCAGCAGCCAGGACCCAAGGCTGGCAGACAATCCCCCAGGGCGTGCGGGCAAAGCAGAACCCCTGGCACACAGGACCAACAGCCAGGACCCCAGGCCCAAAGCCAGAAGCAGAGCCCACAGCAAGCAGAGAGGCGAGGACCATGGGTGCTAGGCCAGGAACCCGGGGGGTGCTGCAGAATCCCCCACACCTCTAGTTCCCACACTTATGTTTCAAGTTTGGGCTATTTTTAAATTCAGTGGAGCTGAAAGGCAGTGGGACCACTGGAAGTCTCCAGAAAAGAATGCCATATTAGCTTGAGTAGTTTTCCATTAACTACAGTTAGTGGTATCCAAGGGTACGTCTAGACTACATGCCTCTGTCGCCAGAGGCATGTAGATTAGGCTACCAGACATAGTAAAATAAAGCGGCGATTTAAATAATCGCCGTTTCATTTAAATTTACATGGCTGCCACGCTGAGCCGACAAACAACTGATCAGCTGTTTGTCGGCTCAGCGCGGCAGCCATGTACATTTAAATGAAGCGGCGATTATTTTAATCGCCCACATAGAAAAATGAAGCGGCAATTTAAATAATACCTGGGTGGTTGACAAATGCCTTTGATGTCGACACCCGCGCGTCCAGACTACAGCTCTGAGCCGACAAACAGCTGATCAGTTGTTTGTCGGCTCAGCGCGGCAGCCATGTAAATTTAAATAAAGCGGCGATTATTTAAATCGCCGCTTTATTTTACTATGTCTGGTAGCCTAATCTACATGCCTCTGGCGACAGAGGCATGTAGTCTAGATGTACCCCAAGTAACTCATGGGGAGAGAAGAGCTTTCTTCGGTTGATTCAGCACACCACAGCTCTTTACTTTCAATATTTTCCAGTCTAAGTGTAGAGATCAAATGAATGCTTAACCTGTAGGAATTTCAGACCAGGATTTCTCTCAACTACACACCCTAGTTGTGTCTGAATTCTGGTCACTGTTTGCACATTTGTTGTAGTCTCCACTGATTTCTACCACCAGGGCGGATGTGGAAACTTCTTCCAACAATTGCACCTTGCTTCCAATCAGGTACATTCCTTCTGAAAGGCTAATCTGAGAAACAAATCACAGATTTGGAGTAAACAGCAAACAGCTACCACTAATAGTGACAGTCTTTCTTTCTTTACATTTTCACCTTTTGTCAGAAACACAGAATAACTGTTCCTGTTCATCTTCACCTGTCTGATTCAGTGTTTGGTTGTGTACATTGTCTTAACTCACTCACAAAGTTTATCATTTTGACAAACTGTCTTAGTTATGATTCATTACTTGGTTATAATTCATTACTTGTAAATTGTTGCTGTCCTATGTGCTGAAATAGATAGAGAGAAAGTTTGCCATAAAAAGAACCTCAGGCTTAGCTTTAGCTGTGAGTGGCAATGAGATTTTGTCCTATAAGTGACAAAAGACATCAGAATGTGACTGGTAAGTGCAACTACATTAATATCTATAATAGTAAGCTAATGAGAAATGCATTAACAGCTAAAAAATACCTGCATGATGAAATGCCACTCCCCATGGTAAAGTACGCTTGAGCACAGAATCCAGACCTGAGGGTGAGCGCCTCAGCTGGTCCATCACCTCCTCTATTGCTTTCTTGTCCAAGGCAACTGGTAAAAGTTCTGACGTTTTCGTAAACCCTTCAGTCAGGAAAGAGAAAGAATATGTTTATAGCTCTCATCAAAATTACTTTGCTACACGAGCACAGTGCAGCTCACAGTCTCCTAAGTAAGCTCCTTCCCCATCCCCTCTTACTCTCAGCATGCTGCAAGGACCAGAGCTGAAGGTTGTAGAATTCCCTGGCTATGATGTCTGCCAGTTTTTCACACCAGTTCTTCGATGGACAGAAGAGCAGGACTGAATGACCATCACGAATAGTTTCATAACACAGGCTCACAATATGATCTTCATCTCCCTGAATTGAGACAAATAATTCTTTTAACAAACTCTTGTGTCATACAGGGATTGCAAGTGCTGCCATTATGACCTTTATCACACTTCAAATCCCTTATACAAATTCAGAGAGAAATAAGGGAAAGAAAGGGAGCTGAGTTTTCTTGATCTTTGAAATTCTAGGGATTAGTATAGTTTCATTGATGTGTACATGTCTTGGGCCCAACATCAGATAAATCTGAAGATTTAGATCCAATTATCCCTAGTTTATACTATTGTTATAATCACAATTAAAACCTTTTTAACCTTGTACTAAAATGCAAAGAACAGTTAACTTCTGAAGTTTCAGATGCTTAAAGTAAAAATTTTTAACAGTTTCTTTATTCACTTTCCCTTTAGCTGTATAGGGTTTTTTTATATGGAAAATTCCCTTATCCTAGCAGTTTCTTTAGGTGATATTGAAGATAACCATTGAGTGGTTAAAGTTCAACTTTATTTTAAGATAAAAGAAAGCAAACATATACACTCCTGAGAAAAGGAAAAGTAGTATAACTTCTTGCTATTTTATGTATATGTACTTAAAACTTAATTTATTTAGAAATTACAGGCAAAGCACATAATTTTAATAGTCAGAGACTTCGCAAACTCTTACTAGTCAGATTACAACCTTTGTCAATAGCTTGCTTCTTATATAATAGGTTAAAAACATGTTCCTGACATGAATTTGTTCTGGATATTTAAATTGATTTTAGGCGGAAGGCCAAAGGAGTAATAAAGGATAAAGCATAAATCATCTAGGGAAGGAAAAAACAATATTACACTAGGAGAAAGCAGTAGCAGAAACTTCAGGTGCATATAAAGTCTTATTCAGCCAAACCCAGAAGAAGGGGTGATGTCATTTGGGTCCCTTTCTTTGCCCAGTCTAGCCATGACATCTTGCAGGATCATGACAAAGGTATAAGACCACGATGGTAGATTCCAGGAATTTAGTGGCCACCTTGAAGATGAAATTCCTTCCCTTAGTCTATTGAGTCTACAAACTTGGCTTTCCTGCCCACTTCCACTTATACATATTACCAAGTAACCTCTAGAAAAAGGATAGGAGCCACCTCATCCCATCAAAATGATCCAATAAATATATAGCTCCAGTCATTGCAATTGTGAGCATTTCTTTTGGTTTCTGGAATCCCACCATCTGTTAAGCCAAACTATGATCTCTGATGAAATTTCTTTCATTTAAACAAATCCAGTGTTTTTGCTTCTCTCCAACTTTTGCTTATTTTATGTAACAGGCTGAGCTGGTCTTAGAATTACAGAAATGTTACACTGGAAGGGACCTTGACAGGTCACATCATCCAGCACTCTCCACTGAGGCAAGTCTAAGTATTATCTAAACCATCTCTGACAAACATTTGTCTAACTTCAGGCAACAGTGCTTAATATACAGTTTGAACATTTTTCTTAATGTCTGACCTACACCTCTCTTGCTACACTTTAAGCCCATTACTTCTCATTCTAGTCTTAGTGGATCAAGAAAACAATTCATCTTCTTCTTTATAACCACCTTTTGCATACTTGAAGACTGCTATCATATTCCCTGCTCATCCCTCAATCTTCTCTTCTGACTAACCAAACCCAATTTTTTCCGATCTTTCCATACAGGACATTTTCTAGACCTTTAACCATTTTTGCTGCTCCCCTCTGGACTTTCTCCAATTTGCCCACATCTTTCCCAATGTGTGGCACCCAGAACTGTATACAGAACTACAGGCCTTATCAGCTTAGTAGAGGAGAAGAATTATTTCTCATGACTTGCTTACCACAATTCTGCTAATACATCTTAGAATGATGGTCAAGTTTTTGCAACTGTATTATATGGACCACTCATTTAGTTTGTGATACTATAGAAAAAGATCTGGGGGGATATAAAGTAATTCTTCTCTAGCAGTCATTTCCTTTATATCCCCCCAGATCTTTTTATATACAGGCAGTCCCCGACTTACGTACAAGTATTTAGTATTAGGAAGAAATAATTAATTGCACAAAGTGTACTATATTGCATTTGTCCGTACTGAATTTCATCCTACACATTTCAGATAATTTCTCCAATTGCCAAGTGTGTTTCAAATTCTAATCCTGCCCTCCAGAAAGATAGCAACTTCTACCAGCTTGGAATCACCCTGAAACTTTAAGTGTATTTTCTGTGCCCTTACCTAAATCATTTATGAAGACACTGACTAGAACTGGACACAGGACAGATCTCTGTAGGATCCCAATTGATATGTTCTTCCAGCTTCACTGTGAACACTGATAATCTCTCTCTGTGTAGAGTTTTCCACCTAGTTGTGCACCCACCTTTTACAGTAGGGTCAACTTGCATATACTTCCCTTCTTTGGTTATAAGGAGATCATGTGAAACAGTTACCATATTCCAGGATGCAATCCAAACAAGTGAGGAGTTGTGTCAATGCCTACTATGTAACCTTGCATGCCTCACAATGCTTTGCTATTGTAGCTCCCAATTTTGACTTGTATACTGGTAGACTGTGAGCAGTCCCACTCTAAGTGTCTGTGTATAGTTATGGCCCCAGTCCAGTAACTCTGCCCCAGCAGCTTGTCAACACACACCAGTCACAGGCAGGCTAACAACAGCCTTCGATATCACCTGCAGGATGATCCCAATAAACTCCCAGCTCCAAATTTTCCCCCAAAACATGTGTGCTGAACTATGCAGCCCTCTCATTGGCAGCTCAGATATCAGAGGTCTGTTGCCCTGCAAGGGATCACTATTCAACTGTTTGGTAACTCCATTTAAAGTAGCAAACAGTTCAGTTTATTTTTTTTTAAACTGGTTAACTACAAAGAGATTAATTTTAGGTGAGCACGTGAAAAAGGGTATTAAAGTCAGAAATGAACACATGATAAAACACTTTCTGGTACCTAAAACTTAACAAGCTAAAGTTGGCCCAAGGTAAAAAATGTTATCACAGGTTCTCATTGACATTGCTAGCCAAATTCCCAGATGAGAAACTCCCTCAAGGTCAAAGGACTGGTTCCTCTATCTTCTGAGATTAACAAGTGAAATAGGAAAAAGAGATCAGGATAGATGAAATTGGAGTCTTTTTCCCCACCCTCTAACTTTTATGGTTCAGTCACACTTTGAAGTTGATTCTACTGAGGACTTTCCATCAAAGAAAAGTTTATTCAAATAATAAAAGCAGTAACATGGAGTCTGGTGAAGGTTGCTCCATGCTTTTTCTTCTCCCCTGTGTTTGCTGAAATGCAGATTTGTCTCATCTCCTGCCATTTCCCCCTCTTGCTATTTCAAGGACTCTGCTTACTATTTGTATGCAAATTGAGGTAAACACATAATTCTATGTTTAGGATAGGCTAGATTAACAACTTTTGCCTAGTTAGAACTGTGTGGTTTGGAACACATGCTATCATCTTGTAAGGGAAATTCATAACTTTATACATAATGTTACTACACACATTTCACTATATTATTGACCACAACATTATTAGTTTTAAAATAATACCTCAAGGCGTGTGTGTGCAAGGTACGATATAGGCAAATAATACCTCAAGGCATATTATATTATTGACCACAACATTAGTAGTTTTAAAATAATACCTCAAGGCATGTGTGTGTGCAAGGTACAATATAGGCAAATAATACCTCAAGGCATATTTGTGTGCAGGGTACGATACAGGGATGCTGTTGATCACTTCTGCATCAAAAGCTTTAATAAAGTCGAAATACATCACATCTACTGCTTCCTCCATCAACAAGGCTTGCTACCCTCCTAAGAGGGAGTGAGTCATCCATTGGCCATCTAGATCAGTAATCTTGAGAATTGTGCTACTTACCTGTGACCAAGAGTCTTCCAAGACTGATCAAACCTTCAGACTGCTATGCCTTCTTATTTCTCCATGTAGGAACTGAAAATTCTGCCAAGAATGACCTTGAGTGGGTCACTGCAGATTATGCAGCATTGAAAAGAAGGATCAATGAGTCGGAGGTACAGGTTGTGTTCTCATCCACCCTCCGTGTTGAAAGAAAAGGTCCAGGTAGGGATCATTGAATTATGAAAGTAAATGCGTGGTTGCGCAAGTGGTGTCGGAAAGAGGGCTTTGCATTCTTCGACCATTGGATACTGTTCTGGGCACAAGGATTTCTAGGAAGAGATGGGATCCCTTTAATGAAGAGAAGGAAGAGCATCTATACACAGGTAACCTTGCAAACCTAGTGAGTAGGGCTTTAAACAAGGTTCATTGGTGACCTAAGCCCTGAGATAAATGGGGAAGTAGGAACACCAGGAGGAAGGTGCAAAAAGGACCATCAATTTGTAGTGAGAAGGTAGGGCAATCAGCTAGTTATTTAAGGTGAAACAAGCAGGAAGAATTAGAAGTCCTGGCACAGCCAAAGAGCTGTGATTTGACTGAAATAACTGAGACTTGGTGGGACAACTCAGATGATTGAAAGGGTATAAACTGTTCAGGAAGGGCAGGCTGTGATTTGACTGAAATAACTGAGACTTGGTGGGACAACTCAGATGATTGAAAGGGTATAAACTGTTCAGGAAGGGCAGATGGGGACGAGAAGGTGAAGGAGTTTTGCACTGTATATAAGAGAGTAGTATGATTGCTCAGAGCTCCAGTATATAGTGGGAGAAAAACCCGTTGAGAGTCTTTGGGTTAAGCTTAGAGGCAAGAGCAACAGGGGTGATGTGGTTTGTGTCAGCTATAGACCACTAGATCAGGTGGATGAAGTAGACGAGGCTTTCTTCAGACAACTAACAAAAGCTTCAAGACCACCGGACCTGCTTCTCAGGGGGGACTTTAATTACCCTGACATCTGTTGGGAGACCAATACTTTCTCAAGGGGGACTTTAATTACCCTGACATATGTTGGGAGACCAATACAGCAGTACACAGACAATCCAGGAAGATTCTGGAGAATACAGGGGACAACTTCCTGGTACAAGTACTGGAGTAACCAACCAGGGGCCATGCACAGTT